TATTGAATTTCTGCATTTGAATTGCGATTTTTAGCAATGACAAGTCTTTGATATCTTTATCCTAGAAACATTGGATGCTGATCTTTCTTGTTCAGAACATACATTTATGAAGCACAAATGAAAGTCAACATTAAAATAGTCAATAATGGGTCTTTAAGGACACCAACAAGAAACCACTTTCAGATTACAGGTGGAAGTGGACTGAGAAGGTACATGAGTCTGAAGCTGAGATACGTAAGAAAGAGGAACAAAATATTAGCCCCAGAGGGTATTTTGCAGATCTTTGTTTGTGATCGGTCCATCCTGGTATGTAATTACCACATAGTACCTGATGCTTGCTTGGTATTCATTTGTATTCTTTCCTGATGTGTCCTCCTAATTTTCTTATGAGCATTGATTTTAAAGGTTCCACTTTAAGAAGCATTTACTTCACATCACTCCCTAAACACGTTAGGAAATCCCACTTACTAATTATCCACTACAATTGTGTCTCAATTGGATAATGAAACTTGCAGGGACTGTTATCTGTGGAAAAGTCATGGTCAGGGTTGACTCTGGTACATTTTAAGAAATTTCTTACCTTTGGTTCGATACAAAATTGGAAAGATAAATTAATGATGGCTGACTTACAGAGCTGCATTTTAAGTAGTTTTTTTTTTTCCTGGAAAATTACAACTTCTTGAGGATCATGCCTTTACATCCACTAATTGGAGTCAGGCAACTTACTAACCATGGTAGTAAAAAAAAGTAAGTTACTTTTCTACTTCCAGTTTTCCAAATGTCTGGCAAAATCTAAAGAGCGTTTCTCTTGGCACTGTTGGTGGACAAGGCTGCTTTTGCTAAAATTCTTCTCTTTTTAGCTGTCACTTTACTTCAGTGATAATTTACTCTAGCTGTCATTTCACCTCCTCCAGCCTGGTGGAAGTCAAGATCTATAAGATTGTTCAATACAGAATTTAACTGCCCTGAGATAAAAGAAGACTTTTCTCAATGAAAGTCAGTTGGGGGACGGGAAGTTGTAGCACTTCAACTATTGTCAAGAATTTTAAAACAGCACAAAAATATATGCTGTTGAAAATTAATTCCTATGGAGTTTTATTTTTCTTCAAAATATACTTCCTGAAATGGTGAAAAAATATGAGTAGATTCAGAGGGGCTGAAAAGCTGTAATCAGATATGGCTTGAACTTTGTCATTTTATATTTGTATCTTTTGGAAAGAATTTCTATAGGGCTCTCTGCTATTCTGGTAAAATGATTCATGTGTTCACCCATTATCATGCTAAAGAGAGCCACACACTGCCTCAAAAGCAAGTTATGCTCAGTTTCTTACCAAACCAACTTATATGCAGATGTGGGAAGTTCTGATAGGTCACTCAAATTAAAATTAAAGCAAATTTGGGAGGCAAATATCCTTAAACCTTTCTAAAAAGTGATTTTCATTGTTTAGTAATATGTATGGGTTAACAGTATGTCTGTTTTTCTATCTTTTTTCAAATGTATATTATCTGCCTTGAAAAGATAAAACTAGAACTATGATACCTTTTATGGAACATGTGGCTTATGTTGTATCATGTATTTTCATCATTCTTTCCTCACATGTAGTGATGGTTTTATGCCTAACTGGACATTTCCAGCATTGGCACTTTCCATTCTTTTTCTAATTAGATAGAAAAGTATTGTCATAACAGACAAGGATGAATTTCAGATAGAGAATTGGTCTTTGTAGGTCTTTGTATGTCCACTATAGGAATGAGTTGACTGACTACTTCTCCAAGTTCTGACATAAAATCTCTGTGACTGTGGGGGAGTCACATTTCCCTGAGCCAAAGTTTGCATATAACTAAAAGGAGTTAGTAATTTTATTTCTTCCTGGAGTATGAGAAGTTAAAGGGGAGGGAAGGTAGAAGAAAGAATATGATAGCCAGGCATGGTGGCTCATGTCTATAATCCTAGCTACTTGGGAAGTAGAAATCAAAAGGATCACAGTTCCAGCAAAAAGTTCAGGAGACCCCATCTCAATCAATGGCTGGGTGCAGTGGTACATCCTGTCATCTCTGTTACAGGAATGGAGAAGCACAAATAGGAGGATCATGGTTCAGGCCAGCCTAGGCATAAAGTAGCACCTATCTCAAAAATAACCAATGCAAAAAGGACTGGTGGAGTATGTCAAGTTGTAGAGCACCTGCTTAACAAGTGCACAGTCCCAAGTTCAACTCCTAGTACTGCCAAAAAGAATATGATAAATTCATACATATGAAAAGCAAATAAAGTAAGTGTTGTGTAAGATTTTGTAGCTAGAGTATTCTGAAAGAGCTCAAGGGAAAGGCAAGCTTCCAGAACACAAATCTGAATGAATGATAAATTCCCATACAGCCAACTATTTTGATAAAAAAAGAAGGTAGGCATCTGCTGCACAACACCACTGAAGCCACTGTATCCATGCGAGCGTTGCCTGTGGAGCGATGAAATATGCCCGGTGTTTTCTTCTGGATGCTGCCATGTGCATTTCTCAGGATAAATGATCAATGACTTTCTCACTGGAATAGGGTCATTGCCCTTTACAAACAGATATATTCAATTCTGTCGCTTATTAGACATCGTAAGTAAGCAGCAAGTCTCTAAGCTTTGGCTGGTAAAAAAATAAGAGATTAAACAATTATCTAAATTTTTTTTGATATTTTTGGATTTGGTGAGAACAGAAACTGCTTGGGATTTTGCTGTTATTCACAAGACACTAATTTGAGCTTTATGGTTTCATATTTTTTAAAAAGTTTTGGTTATTAACTCTACCCTAGTTAAGGATCTACTACTGCCCAACCAATGACCCTGAACAGAAGTTGGAGGCAAAGATAGAAATTTGTCAATGAACTTCCTAAAAAGTGGGTTCATTAAGACATTTGGTGATTTCAAAGTTTGTCTCAAGTGCTTTTTATTGAACCAGAACCATTTTCATCACTATAATTCTATATTGTCTGAGATAATTCTCCATCATAATCCACTCCAAACAACCATGATGGTTCACTAATGACCCACACTTTATAAGTCTTAACAAGAAAATCTTTCCAGAAACCACATCTGCTTTATCAAAGGTGAACACCACCCAAATAAATCAGAAGTGTAGAGGTAGGACATACTGTTAATTTAACCACATTGTGTAAATGATAATTACCTTGTTTGAAAAGTAAGGAGAAGTAGGAACTATGTACTGTCTTATCCCTGTATTAGAAAATAAGGCTAATTAAAATTAAGTGACCACAGATGATATAATTGTGCCTCACAGATAAAGTCTGAAGTATGCCTTGGAGAACTGGTTGCCTGTGTCATCTGGCATTGGAGTTAACTATCAAAAATTACACCAAACTGTTGAGACTCAAAAGTATTGGGAAACTCCAATGCATTTGGTTAATTCTTTAGGAGTGCCACCATCAAATACAAGCTTTTTGAGAACAAATATTATCCCTTACCCATATGTATAAACTTTAATAAAACTAGAATGCTGCCATATCAAATAAATATCATGGTATTAAAAAACAAAGCAGTCTTACTAGTAGAGCAGTAGATGTTCATTCAGTAAATACAAAGAAATGGGGAACATTTATCATGAATCCATTATTAACTACATGAGAAACTTGCTACAATTACATATAATTTAAACATTAAGTAAATGTAATTATAAATATACAAAAATAAAAAATAAAATAAAAATATATAAAATATATATAAAAATAAAGCTAAAAGCTTCAGCTAAGTCACCTTACTACAAAATTGGAAACAGATTATATATTACCCATAGTCTAGATTTTGAAAAATGCCATTTCTAATTTATAATAATTGACATACAATATTTTTCTGAGTAGCATGTCTAAATATGGCAGAAAAGCACCAAAAGAGTATGTAATTTGCTTAAGGACATCCACCCAGGAGAGCTGTTCTGGGTCCTACTTTGTCTTCTAGTCCTTTGGTCAAAGCTGGGGTGGGAGACAGCAGCCCACAATAATCCAAATCCTCATCCCATTGAATTATCTAATTAAAAGGAAGAAATACTCATCTCAAGCACATGCAAACAAACCTTTCAGGATGCTCTTCTACAGGTACTTGGAATGTGACCACCTGTTTTCCATTGTCATAAATCCAAAGCCCTCAAATATGTTCTATGTTGGTCCTTTATTTGATAGATAAAGTAATCCAGTAAATTCTCTCCCAGAGGTGCTTTTTAGCCTCCAGGGACCAGGTTGAACATCCAACAGTAAACAGGAGAGGTCTTGCAACAAAAACTTATCTGGCCCCAAAAGTCAGTGATGCCAAGATTGAGTTAAATCTGCAGTGCACATTGACCTGAGCCTGTATATATGCCAATGGAAATAACCATGTTGTGAAAGAGATTTTTTTTCTTTCTGACCTTAGTGAGGGATTTAAACAAATATGAGTCAAAAACACATTGGAGCACTTCACACAGATGCCTGAGTGAAACTTTCCCTTTGCATGGTATTATGGCATTTCACAAACGTGAAATCATTTCTATTTGTCTCTCTGAGAATAAAATATAGTCCTAGGAAATGATGCCTTTACTGTTCTAAAGGTCAGGGAGACCTTGGCCATCCCTTTGAAAAGAAACAAATATAGATGCTTTGTAACAACCAGTGCATTTAGCAGTTCTATAAACAGTACAACAGTTAAAATCTTACCTTTCATGTATTGTCTATTTCACATTTAAATATTTGCTAGGAACAAAAGTAAGAAGAGCTGAGTTTCAGTTGACAACTATGTCATTTTAAGATCTCTGCCAGTAGTAGGCTCCTTAGAACCACAATTAAGTGCCTCGATTTCGCTTATGTTTCAGACTCATGGTAAGAATAGGTATTAAGCATTTTGTAACTGTTTTAGGATTTTTAAAAGTTATTAAGTTTTGAATAACAGTCTCTCTCATGTTTTCCCACCAAGCTTTTCCCAGCAGTTGAATATATCTGGATCTTATTCTGGTTTTTCATTCTTTTTTTAGCTTCCTGAAATGACTCATGTTCAAACACAACGACCCTGGATGATGTTTCTCCTACAGAACATTGGATTGATCTTGGGTTGGCTTTCTCTCCTACTCTTAGCTATATATGAACAAAATATCAAAATATAAGATTCTCAAAATCCTTCAAAAATGAATTTATATGGTCTTATTTCTTTTGTTGTATTCAACATGAATTGGCTAATTAGGTATTTTTTAATCTTAGTAAAAAAATGTATCTTTTAGTTTATTAATTTATTAATTTTATAATGCACTTTTGTTTTGGAAACATATTAAAGCCTGTCTTTCCAACACTGTGATAGAACTTAAGCTTTTTTTTTTAGTGATTAGTAATTTCTGAATTAATTCTAATAAACTTTAAAACATTGTTTCCCTAAGACAGAATGTTTGTTTGTAGTATTTAAAGTAGACAGATGTCTGGTGGATAAAATAAGCTGCAACTTTTTTGATGTCAATAATATCCCTTTTTTTTCCTGTGAAATTATAAGCAAACTAAATTACAAACAGATATAATAAGGTCTAGCTTTAATGTCATGATTTATATTGCCTTCTATTATGCTATGTCAGAGTCCAGGTCCTTTCTTCAAAGTCAATACAGTATAGTTTACCTGGAAGCATTGCCCATGGATTAGACAGCTCACAGAGAAGCAATCTTGAGGAGCCTGAAGGATAATGTGTCAGCATTCTTCTGTAAAAGTCACCATGTGAAATCTGTTCCAGGAAAGGAAAACTGGAAACAAAAGATGAAGTTCCAAAATTTTTAAAATAACAAAGCTTGAGTCAGACAGTATATTAAAGCCCAAACTATCATAGATTGTGTAACCTAGTACATTTATGAGAATAATCTTGCTGAAAAGTGAGATGTGTTTTATATTATTTGTGAAGAAACGTGGAACCCATAACAGGATTTTAGTAGGTTTAGTTCATGAGCAAGCACCTTACTGATAACCTAGAAAAATTATTAAAATAGAAAATAACCTGGGCTTTAATCATGCTTTTGCTTGAAAAAACAGATACCTAATACTTTTCTTATTTTTCAATGATGTATCTTCAGAAGGGAAAAATGTTTTACTGCCAAAGTGACTCATGGTACTCAGTCATATATGTCTCACCTACCTCTTACCCACCAATGGGTAGATGCTCTTTGCCATGATCCCACCCAAGCATGATCTGTTTCAGGCACTTTCCTTTTATTTCAAAATGAAGTTGCTTTCTTCTCCAGTTGTCTGTAGATCTTGCTTTAAGAGGGTATCATTGTACAGTGCAATAATTATCAAACTTTGACTCATATCAGGATCAACTGGATGACTTATCTGTGGCAAACACAGATTGCTGGCTACATATGCTTGAGTTTCTGACTGTGTAGGTCTGGGAGAGGTCTGAGACCTTGAATTTGAACTTCCAGGTAAGGCTGATGGTGCTGGCTGGGTATGACAGTGAGCACCCCTGATGTGATAGAAGTCAGGCAGACCTGGTTTTGAGAAAGAACAGGTGCCCCTATCAGGTGCTCAAGAACTGTGTGTTCTTGAGTAAGTTAACACTTCTGCAAGGCCTGGGCTGGATATGAGTTCCTGGGTTGAAACTCCCTCATCTTTGCCTACTTGTTCTGAAGCACCTGATCATTCGTGGGAATTACTGGTTGAGGAGTGTACTGACAGTATTTTGATTTGTATTTTTCTGAAAGGTAAGCAGTTGGATGTGCGGAACTTTGATATTCATTTGCTAGAGGATAAATTGTAGCTGAACGAGCACCCCTTTGTATAGGTCAACATGATCACAACCAGGAAGTACCTGGTATTTTTTGTGTTTGAATTTTTATATACAGGTTCTGATTTTGACATTAAGCCTTAATTTATACTAACTTAATTAGAACAGTTCTGATGGGTGACTTGGTTTGCAGTTCAAGTTTAGAGTAGTCTGGGACTGGCTAAATTAAAATTTTGGTGTGAACTTCTTACTCTCCAAGTTTCAAGTTAGAGTGTGTTTGACACTGGTGGAGTTAGGAGGATGCAGAGGGGCTTGGTGGGAGCCAGTTATCAGAGGCACTTAGAAGAGCATAGTATTTTGCAAGTTTTTCACCAGTGTGCCCTGATTGTAAGCAGAGATCCTCCCACTCAGAGGCCATCCTAAGGATAGTATGACATAGTAAATTTTGAAGGCATCTTTCTAGAATTCCTATTCCTCCCCTTCTCTATCTTACCACTGGAATTTTGCTGGTCTACATTAGGTAGCAAACCACAGTTTGAGATGGACCTCCAGCCACAAGCAATCTTAGAATTGCTAAAAAATCTCTGTTCCTCAAAATTGAATGGTAATAACAAAAATATGATGATAACTCTGTGACTTCTAAAATATGAACTGAGTCTAAATTTGGGGTGGCTGACCATTATAATGCTTTCAGGCAAAGTTATGTGTTACTCACTGATCTTTGGGGTCAATGTTATTTTCCTTGAAACCAAATTTTTAAATAACATTAGAATGTTTCTGTTTCCTAAGCCTAAATTCAGGATTCCACTGTATCTCTACTTGGTGATCAATTTTTTTTTAATCATTGAAGTAGAAAAGCTTCTGGATAAAAATCAAAGAGCAAATTGTACAGAAATCTTATTTAAGCATTTGTCATTCACTGGCAGGCCCACTTTTAGGGAGAGGGGAATTGGTCCACATTGCTGTGATGCTACACAGAGGCTGAAAAGATGGCTCCATACTGCATGCTGAACAGGTCTAGAGTCTTACATGAATGTCCACATGAATTGTGGCCACTCTCAGTACCACCACCTCCTTCCCAGAACCTGGTTTACAGGATGAGATCACACGTTCCTGTATGAGACACACCTCTCAGGGTACAGCACATTTACAGCTCTTTCTTCTTCTAAACTGAGTGGGAGAAAAGGGTTCACGAGGCTGCTAATCACTACAGTAGGCAGGTTGATCCATCGGGGCTCTCGTGTGGTTATTAAGAACTCAGACTCTTAACTCAAATGAATCTAGGTTCAAATCCTAGCTTCATTGCTAGGAGCAACAATTTCATCTTTCCATAAAATAAGACAAAAAAAGACTCTAGGTCATAGGGTCAAAATGTGTCATGGTTCATGAAGCACTTAGTGCAATGCCTGGAAAATACTACTAATAGCTCAATAAATATTAAATCATCATCATCATATTGATATTCCCTTATTTCAATAAAATGTCTTTTCTTAATATTGAAACAGTTCATCTATATATGAATATAATATAATGCACTGAACTGTAAGCTATTGAATATTAGAGGAACATGGTGACAGGGGATGAGTAAGAAATGAGGGGGAGGCAATTAATTTGATTAAAGCATGATATATACAGGCCTGAAGGACCAAGGTGAGACCCCCTTGAACTATCAATATATACTTAAAAAAAGAAGGGTGGGAGGGAAACAGTTCTTTTCCAGGAGTGGTACTACTGGGAGGAGGGCAGGCACAAGGAAAAGGGAAATGAGAGTGAATATGGTGGATGTATTTTGTATCCATATATGAAAATAGAAGAATGATACCTATTGAAATTGTTCTGAGAAGATGGTGGAGGTGGGGAAGAGGGAGAACAACAATGTAAGATACATTGTAAGCACATATGTAAATATCACAACTATTATATGCTAATAAATTTTTTTAAAAATAAAAAATGTCTTTCTTGGTGGAGTAGTCGATCAAGTCTTTTTATATATCTAAAATCCTGGGGCTAGGGGTATAGCTCAGTGGTAGAGTGCCTGACTAGTACACAGGAGGCCCTAAGTTTGATCCCCAGCAGTGAAAAAACATTAAAAATAAGCATATACATCTATATTTCTCTGTAAAGCCTACAAACCATGTCCTCCACAGTCTTTGACAGCTTTCCTGCATGATTTTTCACCTTGACTCACTTCCAACACAGGAGTGATGGGAGTCGCTGCTTCACTCACTCTGTTCATGCTCCCTGGGACAACTTCATCTATGTGTCATGATGCTTAAACTCAGCGTGATCCCTTCTCTTTTATTTTTTATCTCTCATAACAAATGAAAACCTACTGTGTTCCACTCTAGTTACACATCTAAGGTTGACTAATGGAACCTGACAGAGAGGAACCTGTCTGAGGTCATGATTCTTGTCACAGCTTGATTTCAACTCAGGGAAAACCAAATATAGTTCAATTGACTCCCCCTGTTACCACCACACCTGCTGAGGAAATGAAACCAGCCCAGAAAAGAGTCTGGTACCATCATAGAAAAGAAAGACTTCTGCTTACTTGTGGCCTATCCTGCTTAAAAAAGACTTGTGCCTTTCAGTTGGGAGCATACAAAGCCTGTGCTTCTAGGAAGGGCATCCCATACAGTGGGGCTATGTGTCCCTAGACTAGTGTCTTCAGTTTGGGAATGGAGGCAGTTAACCCTATCTTGTCATGCATGTCTCAAAATGCAACTGAAATGTAGGAGAAGTTTTGAGAAGCCAAAGAGATGTTCCTAAATCTAGAGTGGCCATACACCATTACTTATTTGAATGACTTGTGAAATATATTTGGACATACATCTCAGTCGTACTCAGACCTCTGCATCCCCCATGGAAATGGTTATGTCTTCACTCTGCACAGTGAAAATAGGCTCATCCTGCAACATTACATAATGCTGGTGTTTGAACCAACTTCAGCTATTTAATTCAACCTTTTGGTTTCAAAATAGAGATATAATAGCAAACATTTCTATAGCACTTAGTATGTGCCAGATGCTGTTAAAAGTGCTTTGGGATAGTCACTTGATTCTCTTAAGAACCCTGAGGATGTAGACGTAATGCTGATTTTGGGTCTCATTTTGTATGAAGAAATTGAGAGAAAGAGAGAGCAGTAAGTTAACTTGGCCAATGCTGAAGAGCTAAGGAAGACTGACTCCAGAGTCTTCAATATTGATCCATCACACTGCCTTTTCAGAGAGGAAATTGAGGTTCAGAAAGTCTGACTTTTTGTCCTACTTATTGTCTATGGAAAGCAGTCAACCTAGAGCTAAATTGCAGATCTCTGATTTTTTTTGTTTGTTTTGGTGTTGGGGAATCAACCCTAGGGCCTTGTGCATTCTAGGCGAGTGCTCTACCTCTGAGCCATACCCTCAGCCCTTGATCTCTGACTTCCTAGTCCAGCAATCTTAACAGTCTTCACACTGTCCCCT